GGTGTGGTACGTTTACCTTTCTGGTCTAGGGGTTATAGTTTCGTTTATATCTGTTTTATGGCGTTTCAAAGTTATTTTAGGTAGGTTTTTGCAGCTTCAACTTTCTTTTTTTATTTTGTATTTGTAAAGACGGCTTTTGATTTTCCAGTAGGCATTAAGATATTAGGTATTATTTGTTCTTTTCAATTTCACGTTCTCTTTTCACCATAGTTTTACTCAATTTGGTTCGTATCACTTTTTTTTTGTTTATGGTGGAAAGCAAATTTGTTTATTGAATTTTTTTATGTTGATTCTAATGTATCCCAGACTAAATCTGGTTTCTGTTTCAGCTATAACTACATTTGCTAATTTTATTGCGATATGCTCACTTGTACATTTATTCTGGCCAACGGGTTCTTATAGTCGATTTTTTACTGCAGCAAATAAGTAGGAATTCTTCATTAAATTCTTATTTTATTTTTTTTATTTTTTTATTTTTTTCCGAAGGTCAGAAAGTGTTTTCAGCCCTCACCGGCGACTTGACAGTGTAAACTCTGCTGAACTGAGAGATATGGAGTATCTTCTGCAGGATAGCGATTCTGATTCTGAAAGTCTTGTTCTTGACCTCCGTAGCATCTAATTTTTTGAAAATCTAGTCTTTATTCTATCTTTTCTTCCCGAAAACTTTGCCATTTGTTTGTTTAGTCACTGCCTCTAGGTCTTTCGGTTTCGCCTTTATTTTCGGGTTATATTTGTAAAACTGTTAATTAATTTCATTGACATAATGTAATAAGTGATTATTTACAGCAAAAGCTGCTTTTCTGATTCGTATTCGTAGAAAGAGGAGTAGTAACTATGGATTATGACATTGGCTAAAAAGACTTTTGGGCATTAATTACAAATTATTTGTCTTCTTGTGAACTGTTTCAGCTTTTAAGGATGAAATTTTAAATGGTTATTTCTTCAGCTTTTTTGGATTTGAGTCATGAAGTATTGGTCTCATTACAAATTGCTCGAACGTTTAATAGAGGGACTGTAAAAATTAATATACAAACATCACATCTCTGTGAGATAAATAAAGTCTGTTATTGATTTGCAACGTCTAAAGAACAGCATTATTTGAAACACCAGTAATAAAAAGCTTTTGTTGAAGAAATAAGGAAGATGCTTCAAAAAATCAGTATCGTTACTATTTTTTCGTGAACAGAAGAGGTACGTACAAATTGCCTATCATCAGACATGGGATTTGCTTGATACGAACTATTTTACTGTGGCAACCGTTAAAGGAGAAGTTGGATGATATGTATTGAGTTAAACAGTAAAAAAATGGAAGGATTTCTTTGCGCTTTCTTACTCTCTTTTAAAAAAGTTTCATGCTTCATACTGTAGATGGTTTGGCATTCTGGAATTCCGTTCAACAGTTGGATGTGATGTGTTGAAATTGTCCGTAAATGATTGCAGTAAAAATTCCACAAACTAATGAGGTGATGTAAAGTTTTATGATGTCAACAAATCAAAGTTGATTGTTCAATATTATGGCAGTGTTTGTAAGTTTTCTTCCACTGTCAGTTTGTATGAGTTCACGCAGGAAATTAATTTTTGCCAGAATAAATGAAGTTTCAGTATGATAAGAATCAAGTTCAGAGATGTTGACAGGAACATCAAAAATGGCCAGGAACCTTTAAAGCTGCACAAAAAAAAAAAAAAATTGTAAAAGTTTTTCAACAGTTTGTTGAGGTGCAAATGATTGTTTTGCTGCAGTGAAAAACATGGATTATAAACCTGAGCTTTTTTTTTCATTTAAGATATCTAGTCAAAAATTTAGGCATTTCATTGATTTGTTCTTTTTTATTTTGAATTATTTAGCAAAAAAAAAAAAAA